CTAACTAACTAACTAACTAACTAACTAACTAACTAACTAACTAACTAACTAACTAACTAACTAACTAACTAACTAACTAACTAAGGACAGTGCTTGGTTCTCTGAATAAGAATTTACTGTCAAAACCCTATAATTTTTAGTTCTTAATTTATTAATATTATGTTTTAATTAGATTTTTTTAGCAATGGTTTTTTTCATCAAAGATGAAGTTGTTAGCTCAGTAATTTTGTTTCGTTCATCTTACAATGTTTACTGTAAATTTCACTGCCTTTACTGATTAAAAGCAATAAATAAAAAAATAAAGAAAAATTTTGAAACCTGGCATCAACGGGGCTCCGTACTTTTTCACGACACTAACTTGCTTTTTGTCCGCGTTGCTAGGATACCACCGCATGATCCCGCCTCCTTTTTTTCTGTCCAGGCTCTTCCGCTGTTTTTCAGCTGCAAGTGAAAGTTAATCAATATTTAAAAGTAGCATGATACAGTTTCTCTTGACAAATGCTAACATGACAGAGTAATGCGTCACTTTCGGACGTCTCACGCAAAGAGGGACTTGTAAGTTGAAACGTGGTAATGCCTTTTTTTAACGGTGCTGTGCAAAAATAATGGAAGGTAGCGAATAAAGCTAATAATAAATAAAAAAGCTAACATTTAGCTCTGGTAGCACGTCTGAGCTGTCATTAGCTCGCTGTTTATTAGCTTTACAAGATGTATTGACTTGAAGATAGTGAGCCACATTATTAAAAACAACCACATACAACTGACTGCAGATAAATACGTGCAGTTTGCTAGCTTATCGTTAGTTTATGATACCTTGTCAGCTGCATCAACTTTTTAGTATTTGCCAAGCGTTATTGAACGAATTAATATTCTTAAAGTAGTTACAGAAATCTCAGCCAAATCATATTTAAAACGTTGCTTATAGTATCAAAAACCTGATTATTTCCGGGTTTTCTTGTTGAAAAAAAAAAGAGTAAAAATCTGCTGATGTGTTCAAAACTTTGACACTGAGTATCTGTTTTCTTTTTCCGCAGTTAATTTGGATTCATACCCTGTCAAAGATAGATGACAATGGATTCTCAAGGAAGGTAAACACATATTCTAATTTATTATTTGGTTTTAATAGAAAGTTGTGCTGTTATAATCTGAGCATTGCCACTTAAAGGTAAAGTTGCATAGCCGTGACCGCATTTTGTTTAATAGTTTTGCTGCTTTTTATGTTTTTCTATTGTTCTTATCCTGTACAGTTTGACCGATGAAGTCAAGCCAGAAGAGAAAAGCAATGACGCTTCACAAACAAATGAAAATGTGGGTCTCTCTGCTCCGCCAATGTCTAACACAACAAAAGACCCCACACCAACTGAAGACATGCCCAGTAGCTTAGATTCTCAGAATTCAATGGACTGTGAGCCTTCGCATCAACCGGATGAGTCTGTTCTTGCAGACAACAAAAGTAATGCAGCTGTAACTCCCAGCTCTAATGGGCAGAAATCCAGGAGACCTGAGTCTCCCGGTCCACACCCGGGTAAAACAACCTGTGTTGGTGCGTGCCCTGAAAATCCAAAACTCAAACTTTGTCTGAAAGTTGGTCACAGGAAAGTTGAAGGTATACTTGATGACGAAAAAGTGCCGAGCCCTGATAGCCCAGTATGTAAAACCACGTTTAGCAACAACTCTGCAGTTACGTGTGAAGGTGGAAGCCCATGTACAGAGGACTCTGGCTTTGAAAAGTCTCGGGTGGTGGAATCTCAGCAGGCTGTCAACGATTCAGACTCTGAAAAACTGGCAAAAGGAAGAGTTCATCCTGACATAAACGCTGAAGATGAGGATGAGCAAATGGAGTGCAGTACCTCATCTAATATGAGTCAAGACCTAAAGGAAAACCAGTCGGATGCCAGTTTCAGAGGGTACATTTAAATATTTTATTCCTATATAATGAGTGGCTTGCTCTTCATTTTGTGCAATTTACAATGGTCCTCACTCTTAATTTTGCACAATATTGCAGGGTTTCATTGCCAATGCAGAACTTTGACAAAAGCTGGCTGGGGACGCCCATAGATGGGCTGAAGAGACTACCGCAGTGTGCCCCTCCTCTGTCTCCCCTGAAAGCAACGCCTAATCACTCCGTCACGATCAGGGTGAGTTAACAACCACTTGTTTATGTGTGGATCTTCGCTTGCAGAGGGAAAAAGGCTGTTGTCAGAACAAGGATGCAGAGGTGAAAGGGCAAGGTATACCCTCGTTGCTTTAATTAGAAACAATGTTTAAATAAAAAGACAGCATAAATAAGATGAAAAGAAAGGTGACACTGGGCCGAGCTGAACTCCCTCTGGGCCTGGTGTCAGTAGAGATCTCATCAGTTTGTCTTCCACTACAAGTCCCACAAGAACACTAGCAGTTCTGCTGTGTTGCTGCAGCAATTTATTTTCTCGCACTACCAAACTATACACTTGTCCTCTAATTATAAGACTAAATTTACTCTTAGGATTTCTGTTTTATGAAACTGTTAAGCCAGTTAAACTGCTTTTTTCCCTATGCACCTTAATATAAAGTTAAGGTATTAGGCTTCTGTATTGGTCAGAAGTAATCTGTAAAGATGTATTTTCTTTCTTTCTTTAATTTTCTGTTACAGACAGATCTCCTCAGAGAGGGTGAGGCCCCCGTCCCGTACCCCTCTAAGTTCAGAGACGCATGGGATGACGTTTCGGTGAAGATGCCCTGCTCTGAGAAGAATCTCTTTCCTATGGAGACTGAGGTAAACGTGTAGACCTGTGCTTTAAATGAATCACAGCTTTTATTTACATGTAATTATATGACAAAATGGCAAAATATGCTCCTATGGAATTTATTGTAAAATGTGCTTTATTGTTAATTTTTAACGTCATGTAGGACGGCGGTCTTCAAAGTCGGTGGGAGCTAATCCGAAATGCCCTGCAGAGAGGCTTCAAAAGTTGTCTGGATGTGAGGGTAAGACAGCTGCACATGTCTGAAATCATTTGGAGGGTTTTTAGAAAGAGATCAGCTAGATGTAGTGTTTTATCAAGCAGTGATCACTATTTTCGTCAAGTTTTCTATGTTGTGCTTAAGTAACACTTCACAAACTTGTCCATTTGTGTTTGAAACAAAGAGGGAAAAAAACAGATGCCATTTAGTTTTTAATCTGCCTTTTGTAGATTTTGTGCTCATATTTTCTTCCCTCCTAAAATCTGAAAACTTTCAAACACTCAAAACATGTTCCATAAACAACCACATGATGGCAGAGTTTACAATTAGATTTTAATGTGAGCATAAAACTGTTAAAATCGGAGTGCCTGACAAATTTGGTACCCTGATGAACCTTTTTTAATGTCTATATCATAAATTATTTATAACTAAATAATTTCTGATTCTATTTGTATTTCAGGATGCAATACTGAGGTACCACACAGCCAGTGCAAAGAAATGGGACTTCACTGCCTTGAACCTTCTTTGCACAGAGGTAAGTGATCCAAAGCATTAGTTCTTATCATAGTTAAATGTATATATATATTAAAATACTGTCTTTACATGCTACTTACATTAACATATGTACTTTATTGTATGCTGTACTCTTGTAAAAATATCTTGGAAAGGCACAACACTTGAAAAAAACACGTTTTAATCTCTTTTTACTTGCATTTCAGTGGAATTTAAGAAAAAAACACTCAGTAATTCAGTATTTAATATGCTTTAAATGTACAATTTAAATTTCTGAAGATAGAAAAACAAGCTGATGGTTTTTTAAAGACCTTTTAAAGAAGTCTGCCTCTTTTCTTTTGAATGCAATCTAGCTGCTGTGTATCGTCCCCACTAGATGCTTAAGAGCCACCTGGGAGCACTGTACAGTTTGGACTGATGAGTGCAGATTATAGCTTCAACAGCTGTTGCAGAAGAACCAGGGGAATGTTTTCGTTTATACGTCTCCTTCCTCTTCACGCTTTCTGTCCTCTGTTCAGACGATCAGGGACTGTAATCGCATTCCTGTTAGAATAATGTTCATATTGGGGTTAAAGTATAAGAAGTGACTTTGTTTCGCTATTAGAAAAGTAAATTTAAAAGCAGTTGGAGATTTTTCAATTAATCGTTCAGTGTTATGTAAACGACTTTCTAAAAAGTTGCAATTTCTTGACATCTAAACTTAAAATGCTCAGCAAATTGAATATATAATTCATCAAAAATAAGCTTTAGACATACGTTAATGGCCTGTATTTGATGAATCACATTTGTTTGAAAAATTTTTTTTTGGCTAGTTTAGTCTCCTAAATTTAGGTGAAATAATAATAAAAAAATCTTTATTCTTTTGTCACAGTTGAGCGAAGACAGTAAGAAAGGTGAGCAGGCCTCATGTCTGTCCCCTCATCGTAAATTATCCTGCTAAAAGGAGAGCATTGCTCTTTTTTTTTCTTTCTTATTCTCAAAATAATTTCTCAGGGTCAGGCAGAAAGCTTGTAGATCAATAGCAACCAAAGCTTTTTATAGCTTAAGCCAATTTAATTAAAAGGCTCCATTAAATTTGTAAGGACTCCAAGTGGCCATCAAGAGAGTTGCCTTTCCAGGCTTGTCTTACTGCCCACTCTCTGAGCGTGTGGAGCCTAGCTTACATTTATTTTCTTTTTTTGCTTCTTAAAGTTTTTTAAGCAGAGTCCCAGGAAGAGGGCAAGTAAAAGTTTGAAAATCACAAAATGAGTCGCAGCTGATTAAAAATATACATCTTTGTGTGCATGGTTTCTTTACTACTTTACATTAGATTTAAATAGTAATTAAAAAAACGGACACGAGACATGACTACACATTTCTGGGTGCTGCATTGACAAAATCTTTGCCGAAGTCCTTTTTTTCCCCACCCTCAATATTATTCTTAGTCTCTTCCTAAAAAAATCTGTTCTTGAAAACAATTTTTTGCACACCTCAGCCAAGACCACCCAGTTAAATTTTGAGCGACATATTTTTAGCTCAAGGGTAATTGTGTGGCGGTGCATTTGCCCCTAGGGCTATGATTGACACTCCGCTTAGTGTGTAATAGCCATTGGAGTGGGGGGGGAAAAAGTTATCCAAATTATGTCTTGTCTGTAAATCACCTTAGTGTTTTCCTCTCAGCCGAATGAAACTGTCACGGTGTCATTTTCTGATGAATGTCTGAGGGTTGAGCGGGAATACAGTTTGAGAATAAGCGATGTTGCTCTTATCTGAAAACATTCAGCGCCAAGACAAAACCACAGCTGAAGGCTCTCCGTTTCATCACTTTGATTAACTGACTGAATAAAAACTTCTGTTTGTAAATATATTTGGAAACCAGCAATTAAATACCCTCTACATTAAACCTTTTAATTTTTTCAAGTTTGACCTGCCAGAAATATGATTACCTGTAACCAGAACATGTAGAAGTTGAGAACTTAATTCACCATTTGCTCATCTATCATTAGACTTGAAGCGTCCCGTGTTAAATAGTGTTACGTTTACTGATGTAAAATGTAGGATTTGCGTCTGTAGCTTAACCCTGAGGCCAGCTTGCTGCTTTAGCTGTAAAAATGTAGTACTGTCATCTTTCTGCCCTCATCCTGCTGCATCACCAACTACCATCTATTAGTCCCACTGGAGCACTTTATGATGTCTGCCAGCTCATTACTTCTGACAGCATTTAGTCAGACCTGCTCTGCAGCCATAAAAATGTTCCAAGCCAAGTCAACCGCAGAGGACTTCCTCTTGAAAATCCAACCAGCCTGCCACTCTTCCCACAATTGGTCATTTGCATTTGCTCCAGAAGGTCCATTTAATCAGCACCAGCTCCCTTGCTTACCTTGATAGAACGAGGCAAGTGATTGATGACGGTGACGTTCGAAGCCAATACACTCATAAATGATTGTGCTGTAAATCTGGGTGTATGATGAAAAACCTGGGTGTTTATTTTAGAGGGAATTGCCCGTGGATGCTGAGGTAAGCTGCAGCTGACGTATGGATGCCTCGGTTTCGCCGAGTTCTTCCTCAGATTGATGGTAGTTTCCTCTGAATAAGGTTCTGTGCAGCGAGTGGCTCTGCTGCATTTTATTTGATCTTACAAATGTTTGGGTTGTGATATCCAAGATGTGAAACACATCTTTTTTTTTTTTTTTACCAGCAGTACACCTTTCCTTCCCTCACACTGGCTTTGATTTTGTTGCCTAGGAGGACGTCCCGTTGTTTGCTGTAATTTGTTTAGAAGATAATCTTTTAATCAGAATGCTTTTTTTCTTATAGTTTTAGCAACAGCTGTTTTTCACCCTACTAAGACGACAATTAGAAAAAAATGGAGAAATGAATGGTAAAATAAATTCCCATGCCTATATTTTAATAT